TACTATATATATATATATATATATATATATATATATATATAGTATAGTAGTAGTAGTAGTAGTAGTAGTAGAGTAGTAGAGAGAGAGAGAGAGAGAGAGAGAGAGAGAACTACAGTCACTTAATTAGCATGGAAACAATAAGAAGTTCCAAAGTTGCTCCTTGCAACAAAACTGAGCAGAAAATGAGGAATTGATACTGATGTCCAAGGCGAGAAGGTGCAGCCTTGCATTTGCTAGCATTCTGAACGCACCACCTACTAACAGTATAAGCTCTCAATATCTATTGACCAGCAGCATGCCTTGCAATTATATCGACCTGCTTTTCACCAATTTGCGAAGCAATAGCTCATATGTCTCATGCAAACGCATCTTAAAGTTGAATAGAGAATCTGTGATGCATGAACACGACAGTGGACATGGCTACAATATTGGGTTTCCAAGATTTTGCCAACATTGATGTTCCACCCATTTTGAGGTAATCATGCATCATAGTACAGAATTCAGTTTAGGCTAGAGAATCAACCCAAGAAACATGAGACACATGTGATCTTAGTATTAATCAAAACAATGCATATGGTCCACACAGCCTAGTTCCAATATGCAACTAGAGGTAATTGTGATCTTACTGTAAATCAGAAACAATGCTTCTGGTTATATGGTTTAGTTTCAATCACGAAGACATCTATGACAAATTAGAATGTTGCTGCAAAAGCTTCTTCCGCATGCAACTAGAAATAAATGTGGTATCAACACAAATAAAAAAAACTGATCCGGCTTCACCAAAATATTAGTACACTCCCAAGCCCATAGAGGGTCCTGGCAAAAGTGGACAACTGATTTTTTGTCACTAATGAAAATGTTATAAGCTTCAAGAACCTGTGCACATAAAAACACCAGTATTCTTTCCCTCATCAAATCCTGGGGGCTTGTTGATGACCATGAAGACACTTCTACCATCCAAGACAAGCATTGGCAAATAATCCTAAAGGTGGATGGATGAGTGTCATTTCTAGAGGCAAATTAGCATGTGCTAGTATTTGAGTTTATTTAGATATATTCAATTACTGATATTGGAAACCAAAATTGAAGAATATTCACTACGAGAATGAGAGGCGTCACCCAGTATGTAGTGACCTAATAAAATTTAAAAAGTAACTTCTAAGAGGACAAATATTTATAACAAATTACAGCATCTCTCCTTTGAAATCTTAGTGCGTTAACATTTCAAAGAAAAAAAGAACTAGAACAAGATGCAGCTACCACCATCAAGATTTCTCTTCATAAAGTTCTAAGACAGGGAAGCTATTAATAACTTACCATATTCATTTAAGTAGTCCATGAGTAGTCTTGTGAAAATATCTGTTAGAACTTCTGCTTCTGGAGAATGTCCAGACTCAGGACAGTTGAAATCAATCTTAACATAAGCCTTAGGAGTAAAGAACAGAGTATCTGCCTTGAACCAAAGCCTCGAAAAGAAGGATTTTCTTAGAAGCACGGGAAATTTAGCCTGCTTGCAAGACAAATTAATCAACTTTGCCAACTTCTGGATAAAGAAAAATTTACAACAATGACATTAAATATATGGTTATGTACAGCCTCACTTCAGTATACCTTTTCTTGTACAATTTTCAGGGACAAATCAGTGGGTATAAAAACATTTGGTGCCGGTAAACTTAGCAGGTCATTGGGAGCTCCATCTTTCCATTGCTGCAAAGATTACAATGTTTTGTGAAGGATGCATTACGAAGAATATGCTGACTTAGACAATGCACACTCCTCAGAATACCAAAAGAAAGGCATATACCATACAACAAACCATTATACATAAAACCAACTACCAACCTGAATTGTGATATCCAAAATGTTTTCAACCGAGTATGTAGTTCCATACCATGGCTCAATCATGTTGGTACATCCGTCAAATTTCTTTGATTCCCAAAGGATTCTGTTAAATACAACATGAGATTAAATTACAGGTAAAAGTCCATGATCCATCAAATTATCTAAAATAAGAAAGGCACAGATGACTGACTGCCAACCAAATATGGAGGAAGACAGTTGCTGAGAAAGATGTGAGGAGCTCTCAGACCATAAGCAAATGTTTCATTAGGCACAATAGGATCACTTACATAACCCACTTATAAGTTAGATGGATAGTGAATATTGACTAGAATGACCATACACAATTCAAATGGCATACAAAACCTTATGCATAAAACCCATGGTCACGACAATATTATTACTCATGTGCATATGTAATGGCAGAATCTGGTCTTAGCCATACTAGAAATGTCAATCAGTTGATTCTAAGGAATGTATGTGCAAAGAGCCCTTGGCTATAGCAATGTCAAATGTAATGGCAGTCAACCACATTCTCTTTATTGTAATCATGGAAGAATAAATTGCAGAAAATCAGACAACGTAAAAAATTACAAGTGAGCAAAAGCATTAAGGGGAAGAGGAAAACCATGTCACAAGAACTCATCATGGTCAGTCATACCATCTCACAACACGCAAAGGGCCATCAAACGATGTTCAGCTTTCATGCTAGAACTGGAACTGCTGTATATGGCTTCTAGTTAAAAATACAGCAAACAAGTAGACAACTGATAAAGAAGGGTGAGAGAGGATGAGGTCTAGAAGCTGAGAGAGTTTAGAAGATAGAAGAGTGGGGGAGGGAAATATAAGAATCACGTAGAGGAGAGGAGAAAATGAGAGAAGGGTAACAATGGTGTCGAATTTACCCCCAAGCCCACTTAAATTTTTATATATTATTAATAAAATGTTAAAGTACAATATTGCCCTTTATGAAAGGAAACGACTGTCTTTATGAAAGGAAAGAATGCAGATAAGTCCCTAATAACTTAAATACAAGAGAAAATAAATATAACTTTGGCATTCACAACACTTCTTACATCTCCCGAAGCCCCAAAAACACAAAGGCAGATGTAGAATGCCTGGAATGAAGTCCATGACAAAAACCAGAAATTCAACAATACTCAGAACACTTAATATTTGATGGTGTTTTACTCAGACAGCATACTTTCTATGCAAAGTATGAGAATTATGACAAGTCCTTTAATTCCTACATGCTTTTATATAAACTTCAAGTGGAGTAAGAACATACTTCATAGCCATGCTTTTGCATCATTACATGTTTCATAGGTGCCTTTCCTTGGAACAAATTACATGTGTCAGAATATTACGAAGATTGGATGCATAATTCAAGAAAACTTTTTAGTTGTCAGTCAAGGTAAGCCCCAATTAAAACTCACTATCCAGGGAAATATGGAAAACATTGAAGGTAGCTAGTAATCAAAACTAAAATAGTACGTTATAGCTGTTTGCTTGACAAATTGCAGCAACAAGAAATAACAGGTTTTCATGGTTTACTATATCAATGACAACAAGCTCTCAGCAGGAAAGGGAAAAATCAATTTTACAAATGTTACCTGACATTACTTGGGGTCAACTCCAGTAATACCATTTGGATAGTATCTGGATTGAATTCTGGAAATAAGGATGATGCTGCAAGCCAATCGTGGGGTGGGTATAGCTGGAGAAACAGTATTGTGCAAGTATCATGCCAAGCAACTGGTCAGAACCAACTTTTCATTATTACTAGCAGGAAAACAATATAAGAAAAACATAATACAACCACAATGCATGAACCACCATCCTAAAATGAAAATTCCAATAAAATGGCTAAATTTAAAGAATTTCCACACATTTTTCTCCAACACATTGTTGGCAATTTGTAATCGCTGCCTGGACTTCCCAATTGAGGAGATCAAAATATGCTGGAAAGATTGAGGTGAGCTTTGAGCACTTAATGAATTAACATGACTAAAGCCAATTAGAATGTGAATACACAACCGACAAGGCGCCTACCAAAGGAATGATGCATACGTGGTATTACAGTTAGGCATCAGCAATGTATGCTTTGGGAAAGATTGCTAAAGACTTTCTGACGAACAAGAACAGATTTGCATCCTTGGATGAAAGATTCCAGAAAAGCAGAACTGTATATCAATTGAATCCTCTTGGTTTGCTTAATTCAATCCCAAGATTTCACAAAATGCCAAGTTTATCCTTATATTCTCTTAAAATAAGAAGTCTAACTAATGAAATTCTATTATGAAATTGTAGAAAATTATTAAGAGTAGTTTCATCATAATAGTCACTAAGCCATGTGGATTAAGCCTATTGGTAACATAAAATATATTGGTAACATAAAATTATCTTTACACATGCATGTGATGGTTGCACATTAGAATAGTTTCCCTACATGAAATTATGCCACTTCTATACATACCTATGATGTTAGACAAATATTCATTTGCATGTGTGCATCTGTAAGTTTACACATTGACAGTGTTACAGTGGACATCTACCCTAGTGGCAGTGTCTAAAAAGTGTCGTAGGTGCCTAGAACATTGGCTTAAAAGATCAATATAGTTAGACACATCTATGAAATCATTTTTCTTATTTCCTACTAGTATATAGCATATAAGTTCCTACATTATATTCATATCACATATGAAATGGTCTAAGATGAATACATCCAAGGGAACTTGGGGGTGGCTCCAATAGGCGCTAAGATGAGGGGAAGTGTATTTAGGTGGTCTGGCCCATAGTTGTTGGAAACGCCTAGGAACCCAAATCGTTTCAAGAAACGGAATCACGAAATCGCAACCGCCTAGAAGACTCCTATTTTAGGAATCGACATTCGTACAATGGGATCGTGGGGAACACGATTCCTAAATTCCTGGAATCGAGTCTCAACCAAAATAGATTCGAGATTCATCCACATCTGGAATCGACATTCCGGCCTCCTTGGACTCGAGAATCCCACCCATGGAATTGACACTCGAGGAGTCAAGATTCATTGATATGTGGAATCGAGTTTTTGACATATGTGAAACAGAGATAAGTTACGGTTTAAAATCATGATTCTAATATCCTTAGAATTGAGAATTTGACGTATATGGATCCGATATCCATGACAGTTTGAAATCAAGAATTACATTAAGTATAGAATGAATGCATTTGACCCCTACCAGGAATCAAGATTTCAATTATATGGAGTAGGAAGTTCCATACATATCTTGAGCCTTAGCAACTTTAAAACCTATATCAGATGTCTCTTCTTAGACTCGTAGAGAAAATTTTAAAGTGATTGTGTTGACTATTGAACTTAGGGTCAAATAATCTATTAGGAAAATTATATACAAAACATATATTTCGAAATTGTGATTTTGACTTCATTATTATACACATAAAATAGAATTATGTAGACAAAATAGGATTATGTATTTCTAAAAGATATGGAAGCAAGATTATGTATTGATTGGGTCGCACTTCCCTGCTCCTATGAACCGATATACTACACATTGTAGATTCTAAATTCAAAACCTTAACAAAACGAGAATCACTACATGTGGAATCATGTATCATTCGGCGTGGACTCAAGATTGAATCTATGCTAAAGTCACGATTCGATGTATTTAGGAACGACTTTCCACAAATAATGGGTTCAAAATTCTAAAGATGTATTAAAACGAGATTCCTAAATTAAGGAATCAAGATTCTCTGGTTCCGAGAAACAGTTTCGATGAAGATTCCTTAACAGAATCGCCGAATCGGGTTTTTGAACCGAAATCGCAGGGTCGGTAAAGAGATTCCAGTAACTATGGTCTGGACATATCCAACGTCAACCTAGAAAGAGCACCGGTTAGGAGAGGAAATTTGGTCCAAGTAAAAGGCTTTAGAAGGTCATGGGAAGGCCCAAAAGAACATAGATGGAAGTAATGACAAGAAATATGGTGACTTATGGTGACTTATGGTCAGACTGAGGTACGACCCTTGATAGAGCAGAATAGAAGAACAAGATTCTTGTAGCGGACTCCAAATAGTTAGGATAAGGCTTGGATAATGATATGAAATGATTGGGGCGATTTTAGAGCTTACAATGGTAATCCAAGATTACCAGAGTTCAGACCCTACCTTGAGCATTTTTTGTCTATTTATATATGCCCCATCCTCACATGTCAACACATGTCAATATGCAACACCAGCCATAAGCTAGAATGTAAAGATAACACAACCATGAGCTGAAATGTTAATGTAACAGTGACAAACAAGTGTAATGCTTATGTGCATACACGTGAAAGCTAGTGCTACACAATACATGTGCATTAGACGTGTAGAAGATGTGCAAGCAAATATCCGACTCTATCAATAATAGGTAGAGTCAGCCTACATAACACATATTTAAAAAAAAAAATGATATTATATTATATTGATGAAAAGGTGTTGACCCAAACTTGTGAGAAAGTTAAAATGAGTTATCATGTTACAAAGAGGTTCAAACTATATAGTTACTTGAATCATGTACCAAGGTCAGGATTCCGGTTAGGAATCGCGATTCCAGGGTTCCTAGGATGAACCATGAATCTGGAAGATAGGAATCACATTTGCCAATTTCATGAAACGGGTTCCCAATTATTATATAAATGTCGATTTGGAAGGTTGGAATCTAGATTCCATATCATAAAATTTGCAATTCGTCGTTGCACAACAATGTGATTCAACGTGTGAGATGTTGATTCCAATTCTTTAAGAATTGCGAATCCATGTTGTTTGGAAGCGAGCGCCATATCATCAAAAGGAGCAATTCTTAGATACATCAACCAATGTTTTGATCAACATCGAATCAAGTTCTAATGACACAGAATCGAGATTCAAACGCAAATATTGAATGAAATACATTCACAAATTGTATGTTGAAGGAAGAGCTCCAAGAACCGATGCTATGTTACCGGAGGAGTTCTAGGAACCCTTTTGTATCATGTCACAATTTTGTACAAAGTTAAATACCCATGATTTGCATTTCAAGACTGTGACGTTGTGAGAGCCAAAAAAACCTTAATAAGCTTTCGAGATGAATCCATGTACAATAATCTTTGCCAAGTCAGATTTATCAATCTATAAATCACGAAGTGGGTGGTAATCCTACCTCAAGCTAAGAAGTTTGGTTGGTAGCTCCACCTCAAGGTAAGATGTTTATATAGGATGCTTGCAATAACCAAATGCTTATTATTTATCATTTACTGTACCAAGTAAAGGATTATATGGGGCATGTTTGGCGGGTGATTCATAAAATGCTTATCTTGATCATCTGCGGTACTAAGTAAAAACTTATCATTCGTTCTCTCATTGTACGCTAGCTTGGTCTTTCAAGCTAATACCAAGCTATGGTATCATCTATGGTATCTGCTTGGTTTTACATAAATAATTTGGGTCAAGGTATGGTATGTCTATCCCCAATCATCTATGTAAAACTTTAAATCTTTTCTCACCAAAATATTTCTATCCTATATCGGAGGGGATGAGTGCAAGATTCCTGAATTGTGGGAATCTCAAATTCCAATCGATGGGGACAATGATTCCAGTACTGTAGGAATCACGATTTCTATTTTGTCAGATCGCGATTCCATAAGTCATTGAATTATGTGGGTCAAGTGAGATTCTTGAAAGGCATGAGACTCGATTCCAACATGATGGGATACCGATTCCTACAAATAAGAATCACGGTTCCTATTTTATTGGATTGCGATTCCGATTATTAAGAACCACACCTCCGATAGTTTTCATTATACAGATGGCGATTCCTATTTTAAGAGTCATCTGGCACATGCGATTCCGCGATTCCGATTCCTAAAATGAATGGGAATCACAAGCATTTTCAACAACTATAATTCAAACAAACACATCAAGTCAATTACACAGGGATCTTTGTGCCTATGGTGCAAATACATTCTATGGATTGTTGCCAACAAGAATTTGAGCTCACTCCAAGTACAAGTCTAGTGACCTACAAGAAGACTTGTATACATCACTTCCTAGGTAGTCAGGTAAGCTGTGCAGTTGAGGGTGCAATTTATAAATTGAATATTCTGTTAAAGCCTGCCTAATATCAAGAAATTCATTCATGTCATTGTTGGCAATGGTTTTTAGAAGATTCGTGTGGATTACTCCATGCTTGTCAAAAAAAGGAAAGAGAAGACAACTACTCTCATCCATCAAAAAAGAGAAGACAACTACTCTCATCCATCAAAAAAGAGAAGACAACTATTCTCTTTGACTACCTGGATGACACTAAGCTTAAAAGGAATCTGACCAAAGTCATTTGTCACCATGGAACTAGTACTTTTTTAGTTATTGAAACAGTAAATTCGCAGGAGCTATGATGCAAAAATACAGCTGTGGACACAGCTAAAACATCAATATTTTTGTATTTTAAATTTGTTTTAAAGATATCTAACAAGGATAAAGCAAAGTATCCATGCATCATAGCTCATGGAGGATTTCATTTTTTAAAGGAATGTACAGTATGGACTTGCTGCAAGGTAATAGCAATAAAGTCCAATCACCTAGAAAGGTGAATGATGTCTATGTGAATGAATAGCTAGAGAAATTAAAGGTAAGCTTATCAACTTGACTAGATCTAGCATACGTTTGAAAGGTGAGTTGGTTTATATACACCTAGCATGC